GGGCACGGTGGCTCACGCCTGTAATCTTAGCACTTCGGGAGCCCGAGGTGGGTGGATCACCTGAGGTCAGGAGTTCAAGACCAGCCTGGCCATCATGGTGAAACCCCATCTTTAAAAAAAAGAAAGAAAGAAAAAAGAAACAGAAGTGCCCAATTTCTTGCCAGCACTATTTGAGCACCTGGATTCAGCTACGCCTGAAACCTCCACCCCTCAAAAATAAAACTTTCAGTTCCCTCAGCTTATAAATCACCTTGTCAGTTGTTAAAATTTGTTTTTTATATATATACCTTGTAAATTTGAATGAAGGTTTCTATCACTTGCAACTTGAAAAACATCTGATTCCTAATCCTGAGATTCTAATCTACTTTTATGTCTTTATTTTTATTTTTTCTGAGACAGAGTTCCACTCTATCACCCAAGCTGGAGTGCAGTGGCATGATCTCGGCTCACTGCAACCTCCGCCTTCCAGGTCCAAGTGATTCTCCCGCCTCAGCCTCCTGCGTAGCTGGGATTACAAACTGGTGCCAACACACCTGGCTAACGGTTTGTATTTTGTTTTTTGTTTTTTTGAGACGGAGTCTTGCTCTGTCGCCCAGGCTGAAGTGTAGTAGCGCCATCTCGGCTCACTGCAACCTCCGCCTTCCAGGTTCAAGTGATTCTCCTGCCTCAGCCTCCTGAGTAGCTGGAATTATAGGCACGTGCTGCCACGCCCAGCTAATTTTTGTATTTTTAGCAGATACAGGGTTTTCCCATGTTGGTCAGGCTGGTCTCGAACTCCTGACCTTATGATCTGTCCACCTCGGCCTCCCAAAGTGCTGGGATTACAGGCGTGAGCCACCGCGCCCGGCTAATGTTGTATTTTTAATAGAGATGAGGTTTCCCCATGTTGGTCGGGCTGATCTCAAACTCCTGACCCCGGTGATCCTCCTGCCTCAGCCTCCCAAAGTGCTGGAATTACAGGCGTGAGCCACTGCACTGGCCTGGGATTCCTACAGCCCGTAACCTCCTGGCAAAGGCATATGTGGGCCGTGAAGCTACAGAGGCCTAGTCCTTACCAGGGCCGAGTCCAGCATTTTCTGCTCAAAGTCAGCTCGGGCTGAGTTGTACTTTTCCACTGAGCGCCGCAGGCTCTCTGCCGCCTTCTTGGTTTTAGCCTCTGCCTGGGAAGCACAGGGAGGAAACAGGGATGGGAGGGGGCCGCTCCGGGCCCATCCCCGGGTAGGTCATCTCCTCCGGGTACCCAGGGTGCGATCCCCCACAGGTTCCACCACCGTCGCTCTGCCTCGTGGCTCCACTCTGATCAGGCGGCCCGTCTGCCCCGTGGCAAATTCCTCAGCACCCCGCTGTCCTCACACCTTGTCCATCTCCTTCTGGCTGCTGCTCTCCCTCCGCAGCCGCTCCTGGTCCATGCAACGGTTCAGGTAGTTCTCGCGGGACTTGGGCAGGAGCTGGCTGACCCCCGAGAGCACCTGCACAGCATCCAAGGTGCCCACCACTTCCTCCTTGCACTGCAGGGGTAGGAGGGGAGATCGTGGGCAGACCGGGAAACTCCTGCCCTCATAAACACTCCATGCGATGCCAGGTGCGGTCTTTTTCTCTCTCTCTCTCTCTGTGTGTGTGTGTGTGTGTGTGTGTGTGTCTGTGTATATTTTGTTTTTGTTTTTTTTTTTGAGTCGGAGTTTCGCTCTTGTTACCCAGGCTGG